AAGGCCTTACAGAGCAAAATCCCTTACGAATAGAGAAACAATAGGTCTCTATCAATTGAATATGGTCCCAAAATGTCCCAAAGCAAAGTGGAGCCCTCAATTGGTATGCCCCCTCTCTGTCATTCAACAACTATATAGATTGTCCGATCTGAGACATCGGATGAAATCGTGACTTCCAGCACTTCCTTGCCGAAACGGACATGTCTTCCAATGAGAGTGCAATCTGGCTCAATATTCATCAAGGACACTGGCTCCACTTCACCGGCCACCAACACCTTACGAGAGCACACAAAGTTTGATGACAGACTTCACGAAGGAAGCAAGTTCCAGCTCCAAATCTAAAATGTTTTTTTTTTGGGAAACGAAGACCTGCCTAGTGCATTGTGCACCCAGCTGCAAGACATTTGCCCCAGCAACTGATCACATGTTGACCCGAGTAGAGAAACAACATCGGGTCGATGAAATGGAAAGAGCATGTCGGTTTGGCATCGCCTGAACCATGGTCATCTCAGCTTCTGGGCGGTCGAACCTGGCTGGTGCTGGCCGCGGATTCAATCGCTCGCAACATTGTGGCTCTCTAACTAGTTCTCCAATAAAACTTTACTGCGGGATACTGGGGCTGTATCCAAGTAACATGGGAAGGCATGCGGTCATTGTCCTTTAAAGCAAGCACCATGTTCAGCACAATTATATATCTAGAACGAGGTCAAGCTGTTGCTCCAGAGCAGGAGCTCCAAGCACTTTGAAGTGCCACTTGTACGTATGCAATATGGAATGGTCAAAACGTTGACAGAAGCGCTACTAGGAACAAGAAACTACTAGGGGCTCCTGGCCCTACTGCTAGGAGCAAAGAAGCTACTAGGGGCTCCTGGCATCGCTACTAGGAACAAGAAGCTACTAGCAGCATCATTCCAACTTGCAAAAGACCCCTTAGGCGCCAGCGAAGATATCGGGGCTTTCTCCTCGGCGGTGCCCTCGTCGGTCATGACCAGTCGTGTCTGCAGGATGCATCTACACGCATCGATCTGAGGTCGATCTGAGGTGGATATATAAATATGTTTGGAAGATGATCTGCCAAATTTTATCGGAGGATAAGTAAATGTTATTGATCTATATTGATCTCGTGTCAACTTGGAAGATTATCACATTGGGGCCATCAGTGGCACAATGTCCGGCCTCCAGGGGAATTTCAGCAGAATCCTTGCCTCGAGCCTGCACACGGCCAATGTTCACGGCACATGTCCATCTTGAGTGAGTCTGCCCAATTTGGCATTTGGAGGAGTCAAGAAGTCTTTAGCTATCACAAGCTTTACATGCATGTAGCCAAGGAATCTCCTCAAGCAAGAGGCAATCATGAGTTATCCTCAGATCAGATTTGGTGCGGGGAAGGCTGCCCAATCTTGATATTTATAGGATTTGATAGTCTGTCTCAAAGCAAAGCGGAACACTCCCCAAGTCTAGATTTGCGGAAAGAATGGAGCGTTCAAAATATGTGGTGCTTCTTCTTCGTAACAGTTGGATTGACATTTCCGCCCCTTTTCTAAGCCTTTAAACCCATGTCGGCCCTTTGGACCGCTCTTGGCCAGCTTTGGACCAACCGTTCAAGTGGGCGTGGGCGTAATGGCGCTTCCTCGTCGGTCCTGAGAAACGAATGACTGGATTCGTTGGCACAAACGAAACGATCTGTTTGGGCAATTTCTTTTGATTGAATGCCGGAAGGGGGGCGGAGTAGGGCGTGAGGACAGCTTGAGAGTAACCAAGTAAGAGCTGTAAGCAGGGGGTAAGAAGCTGGCAGCTTAAGTAGCTATATACTATATACCTAGGCTGGGCCGCACTCTCTGTTCAGGCTTTCTTCAAGGAAGCTCCCCCTTGAAGAACCCCTCATATTGTTGCTTTGGTTCATTTTTGTTCCTAGGTGTTTAGGAAAACTTAACTTGTCCTGGAACCCTCCAAAAGCATCGAGGTTTTGCAGCTCCTGCAATGTGGCCAAGACCGAGTCAAGCGCATTCAACATGGATTCCTCGGATCAAACATCAATCCTCCAGGTCTTGAAGAAGCAGTATTGATTCGACTCCTGGGATTTTGCAGTGGATGAAGAGCTGGAGGAAGAGCAAGATATGGCAAGAGCTAGCTTTCATTAGCTTTCTATGTCTTATAGAGGGTGCATCGGTCCCTTGTTCTGCAGATGTTGTCAATAGCCACAAATATGCAGTGATATGAAAAACTTGTACCAGACTTTGTTCTGTGACTTTTTTTCTAACTCCAACTTGGGACTCTGCCGAGCCGCAGCATCCGCTTGGGAGAAGCACATGGGCGGCTTCATGACAAGCACATTGTCATGGGGGGCCATCAATGCTCATGAGGATCCTTGGCTCAAAAGACTTGTGGACGATTGGTAAAACCCTGGTACAGCATGCACAACACCAACAACCATTCAAATTCAACCGACCTCTGAGCCGAGTGAGCTGGTATAGCAAGAGGTCCTTTCGGGTGAACCACCTTCGAAGAACACCTTTGGTGTTTATGGTGGCAATAGTACTGAACCCAGGGTTGCCCTGACGAACAACAGGACAACACAAGTCTTGGCCTTGGACAATTGTTTAATGATATACAAAGCCATGGCAGCAGCCCGCACGTTTGTCCACCAAGGTGGTTTCCCTGTTGCGGAACAACAGGCCGCCAGGTTGGGATGGTGGTTTTCCGGCAGAGTTCTGGTCCCCGTGCATTGAATTATATACAGTATATAATTGATGCTCTATCGGGCTTATCTTGAATGAAATTGCACACATGCACAAGGTTGGGCTTTGTCTGAAGAGCTAAAATGCCTTGAACATGATCGAACCCTTTTTTTCCTCAAGTCATTTCCCTTTATCTTTCATGGAAAGAATGAGCATTGGGGTTCTTCCCCGTGACGATGAAGCGACTCACGATGAACGCATGCACGCCGCTGCCATCAGGACCAGCATCTTGTGCTCATCTTTCATGCGAGAGCAAATATCGGAGGTTTCCTCTTGGCAATCTGAATCGGATCCATCAGAAACTTGGGACCTTCCTTGTTAGTACAAGACTCATAACTTCTGTGATTGACTATTCCATGTCATTACACCTTGATGGTCTATCCAAGTGATAGGAACTGGAACTGGGGCAAGACAGAATGCACCTTCTATTTGGACCTGATCAAGGACAACTTTCTACTTCCAACACGGCCAAAAACAAAAGAAGATCCAACCAATCCCTAATTTATGCATTGTTCCCTTCCTGATCTCTGTCAAGGTGAAAGGATTCCAAGTCGGCTGGCTGGTTGGCTGCTAAATGGCAGCATACTTAACCAATGACTCACATTCTAATAATCATCGTTCATGCTTTGATGATTCATTATTTTCCAATAGTGAGACACACACACACTCTCACACCCGCGCACACACATGCATATGCACATGCACATGCACACGCAATACGCGCCCGCACACACACACACACACTTAATTTCCGGTTTCATCGAAGCCCGACCAAGCCCATCGGTGACCATTCACCAAAAGGAAGAGATTTGAATACTTCAAGTTGTTAGGAAGATATGCATCGGTCTGTGCCTGGCCACAGGTGTCCATCAATCCATCCGGTCTTTCCAAGCTTGATCTTGAAATCATTTGTCCTGTGGAGCTAGATTGAAATTAAAATGCTCTTTACGCCGGATGTCACGTCTTTACGCTGAACTAGCATCGGCTCAGAAGTCCAAGTTTCTGCTGTGGCCGGCTCCAAGGTGTCTCGATCACGCACAAACTCGATGCCAATGAACCTGACTACGGAACCGTGTACTTGTGTCAATGCCAATAGGGATGAGTTAAGTGCCCTTAGGGATGATCATTGGTGATTCACAAACATGGTATGATTTCAATTCGTGGGGATTCAGAATAGGGGGCGCGTTTCTGGCGCTGGTGTCAAAAAGTCTTGCAGGAAGCTTGGATGATCGGACCAAGGTTCGATGTATTTCAACCAGGTGAGCGACTGTCAAGTAGCGAAGTCCAAGACCCAAGGCAAGAAGAAAGGAACAAGGAAAGACACAAAAATTCTTTCAAGAGGAAAACCCACCAAAGCATCGAAGCATCTGATTCTCATTCCAATGATAGGGCCCCCGGCAGCCCTTGGCCTCGCACGTCACCGATCCAGCGGTGTCGCTGGGCCAATTCCGCGAGTCTTCGCCGCAGGACGCCGCCCACCTCGGCGGCGTGGGCCTCGGTGGCGACGAAGAGAATCACCGAAAGATCCGTGGTCCATCCTGGCAACTAGTAACGGCCTTACTACTGGTAGCTAGAGGACGCTACTAGGAACAAAGGGCATCGCTACCAGTAACAAGAAGCTACTAGTAGCTCCTGGCCTTACTACTATAGGAGCAAGCACAAAGGGCATCGCTACTATATCCGCAATGTGGCCCATCCGTGGGAAGATATGGACGAATCCCGGGATTTCAGTGCGTTGAGTATGTCGTACTGAGTCAGACTCTACATACTGACATCTTTTCAGAGCTTTTCTGCTCGAAGTACAGGTGGTGTGGCCAGGAAAGGTATCTGGTGTTAGGCTTGCTGATGGGGTACGGGTACGAGATTGAAAGCTGAATATACATGCCACCATCATGCCGCCTAGGACCTGAGGGCCAATCTTGGAACTGGAGCAATGCTAAAAGCTAACCCCGCCTGCAACTTCTCCTCACGGATAATGTCCTCAGATGGGCTAGGCTGCCATTAAGTTGTCTGTGTCAATCTGAGGCCACAGAACCCGCCAACACAAACATACACACAAACCTGGGACTGGGGATAAACATGAAGGGTACAAAGAGAACACATGAACTCCCAAGGTTCTACGAAGGCGTTCCCCGCAGATACTATGAGCACAAGGAGGAAATAATCAGAGTGGCCCAACGCCATCCCGTTGCAGAGGATGTCCAAAAGCAGCAATCACCCTCTACGCCTGGGCCTTTCGCACTGTCCTTGCACCAAAATCAATCATATGAGAGTGTGCAAACAGGTGTCTAAGACGGCCAAGCCCGCTGCACAACAAACAGGATTGCCGCCGAAGGTATTAAAGTACTCCTTAGTCAAAGCGATCAAGACATACACTTCGAACGAAGATGAAGGGGCCTTCGCGTGCTTCTATCGTCCATGTGACACAGCCTGGAACTACAGAGCTGCATCATCGAGTACTAGTTTACTAGTTATTTGCGCAAAGAGGTGTCCAACTCCAGGGTGAAAGTGTATTTGTTGTGGAGGTTCCTGCAAAATGAGCACTCAGCCACAACAGCAAAAGACCAAACAATCGCCACATCCACAAACCACCCACGAGACTGGCCAGCCAAGGCACCAGGCCATTGTGGAACGCGTCCGACACCTCCTTTGTGGTAACCACCGCTGCCAGGGGCATTCCATTACCAAAAGGCTTTCCCATCGTCACCTGCGAGCAACCATCGACGATGTTTGATCATGTTTGATCTTCATCCACATTGCAGCAGCTGGTTCTTTGAAAAGAATCTCTAACATCATAGTCCAAAGTACTCCCAAATACCCATCCACAGGGCTCGAAATCAAGCTTTTTGTTTGGTGATGCTGCTTGCACACCTGCTATTGATGAATAACCTCCTGCCAGCCAGGAAATTTTCCTGGGTCCTGGTTCAATTTGAACACGGTCTTCACAGTCTCAACTAGGCCGCGTTGCAATATCAGGGGTAACGCCTTGCTGTTCAAAGGCCCAGAAGTAGTCCTTGGCACTCAACAAGCCATGTGAGCAAAGAAATGCTGCCCGTGTTGAAACGTCAAGGTTCTGTTCGATAGCTAAAGGTGATCTTCGGCAACTAGATGGTGCTCTTCGGATACTGTTCTACGGCAGCTAGATTGTGAATGTATCATAATAATGTACGTATCAAGACAAGTATCGTAGCCGTCACAGGGTACGTCAATAGGCCCACCCCACACCCCCGCCTAACCCCCCGACCCAGCCGCACCCCTGCAGCCCCTAGCCACGCTCCATTCATGTAATATGGAAGAATGCACTGTGGAGTTTCTAAATACATTCTGAAGAATGCAAAATAGTTTCTGAAGATCGCAAAAACATTTTACGAAGGATGCAACATAGTTTCTGGATATTGCAAAATAGATTCTGAAGAATGCGAACAAATAGTTTCTGCAAAAGGCGAAATAGTTTCGGAAGATCGCCAAGTAGTAGTGGCGGAGGTTCTGAAGAATGCGAAATCGTTACTGAAGACTACAAGTATTTACAAACTAGTTTCTGAAGAGCAGTTGCAGAGAAATACCAAATAGTTGCGGACGAAAAGTGTCAGAAGGACATTGCTCTGTGTGGTCATTTGGGACGCGAAGACTTGCCACAGAAGAAACAAATCCTAAGACAGTCAAGTGCCTCTGGGAACAGGCACTAGTTTCAGACAGAACGCGCAGAATCCATGATTACATACAAGCACAGTAGTATTCCTGAATCATTCAGACCCATGCTGATTCTTTGAAGCCAAACTGCGAGAGCGTGAATTCCCCACAGTTACCCAGCAAATACGCTGGGTAAGAAAAGTCTCTTTGTTGGAAACAGCGCAGCATGTCTTTCTTGTTGTTGCCAAAAGGTAGAAACGAGATGGCTTTATGGTCTTGAGTCTTGAGTATTCATCCTGGCCGAAACTTGTATCAAGAATCTCCAAAGCGCCCAAAGCCGACTTGCACTTCATCTGCTACACAAACACCACCAGCATGTCTCACCGATTGATATGCAGACTGTAGATAGCCTCGGCAGCCGCCAGCCGCTTGGAAAGGAATGCTTACTTTGTCATCGAAGATCCACAAAAGAGTGATGCGATGATGAGCGGTGAGAGCATGTGAAGACCAACGAAGCTGCAACTGTCATGGTCTTCTTGTGGGATCCGCTCAGTCAACTTGGTCCATGGTCGACACTCCCACCAAAGCACTTTGGACAAAGACCCTTCTTTCAAGATCTTTTGAGGTCTTTCACCAACGACATCTGGAGCAATTCGGTGGCAAAATCATGATAGCCGGAGGTCTTGATCGATGGCATTTTAAGTCGTCATGCTGCTGGTTTTCATCTGTCCTTCAGTCGTCTCCAGATTCTCTTGAGTCCTTGCACTGCTTCTAGCTGTGGTGCTATCCAAACCAAACTCCAAGCAGGAAAGCTAGACTAGTCTGCAAATGCCTTCCCAAGGGATGAGTCTTCTCACCTTTTTGACAGCCCAAACTGTGCAGATCTGTGCAGCCTAATCTTGCAACGCCATGTGCATCCATGCGGCCAGGGGGAGGCAAAATCACGCCGCCCACCGACATGCCCGACTCCACCTCAGGTATATTCTGTTCACAGCTGCTAGTCTGCAGGTTCTTTTTGTGCCATGTCTGAAAAAGAAACACGATCGTCCGTTGAGCGATTTGCAAACAAACGATGAAAGGGTAATCAACTTTTTGTGAACCGTGTGGGTTCGCGGAAAGTCTCTTCATACACGCACCTAGTTGTGTATTACCAGACCGCCACGGTTTATGTTTATTGATTTGGAACTCACCTGTCAACGGTATCAAAGAGTGGAGCCCAATTTGTGCCCTAGCATATGAAACAACACTTGGTGTAAAAGGATACAGTACTGCATATAGGATCATTGTGGGTTTAATGTTATTCTCTTTGATGAACAGCACCAAGGCCGTACTCCTAAAATTTGCAGCCTGTCTATGATAGCTTAGGCTTAGGGTCTGTTTAGAGATGTCCCCACAGGCCTGGACAGCAAGCTGAGTCGGAACAAACATGTTGTAATCAGCCTTGGCCTTGCTAAACTTTTCGCACCAAACACTCAAAGGGTGGCTTTACTCAGTCTCTTAGGGGTTGCACTACTGTATTTGTTTACAGCTCCAGGTATATTCAATGGTTATGGTACCCTAGAATGTAACTTTGTTTCGGAAACTGCATGGATTTGCAAAGGTGTCCTTAGCCGAGCCACGAAAAAGGCTGCAACAGATCCAGCCCGCTTGCAAGCTGCTGCCTGGGGCTGTGGAAACAAGTGATCACCATCTCGCATGAGCCATTCAGGAACTGCACCCATCCAAGTCACACAAACCGATCTGAAGAACCTGTTTGAGTCCCTACCGCCTTTCTAGATGGACCATTATACTGGGTATATCTCTCGTAAATCTAGCAGGTCTTTGGCCAAACCTTTGGCCAACTGCACTTCTCCAAACTGCGTCTTCTCGAACTGCGCAGAAAGCACAGTACAAACGTACACAGCACAGTAATATTAAACTCAGATTGGTAATGAATTACATATATTGGGGAAACTAGCTTGGACAAGAAGCCATCTTGAACATCTTGCTTCTGCATATCATGAGTGACCGGTCCACCCTAGTGGCCCAAAACGCGTGAAATGTGAACCATCAGAAGCCCGGTTGCCACATCTGCTGCGTATCGCTCGCCGGCATCTTCTCCTGATCTGCTGGCTCAAACAATTGTGACCAAGAATATCAGATGGTTCAAGAGACTTCTACAAAAATGACCTGGTCAGTGGAAAACTCGAAAACGATGTCTCCGACCTGCCTGTTAAGATGAGGTGGGCATGGCTGGTGATAAGACACAGCTCTTTCAGATTCTTTCAGATCGCATCCGACCCAGTGTGCAACGACCAGGCTCCTCGGTGCGGGCCTCGGAAAGTGTCTGGGCATGGCACTTTGAAGATGTTGGGCTTGGCTCCTGGCAGTCACAGTTGGGCCCGGGCATTCCTTCAGACCGCCGACACTTGGGCCCACCCTGTGTTCTAAACCTGAATGAGCTTGTCATGATGAAGTTCTACAGTTGACTGTAGTGCATTGATGTCCCAGAAACTTTCAAAACTTCAAGTTTGCCACGTCAAAAGACATCGACTGGATGTTCACATTGTTCACCCCAACTTGACTAGTCGATGCCTCAACGCTTCGCGGACTCCGCTCCTTCACCTCCTTTATGGTCAAACTTGTAGGGACTGATCTCAATGGTCTGCTGGGTGTGTCCGTGATACCCATGGTCCACGACAATGATATTACGGCTTCCTGAGATCCAGAAACCACATCGACCGCTGCTCGAAATTCGTCTGTTTCAGGGTGAAACATGAGTGGTTTGAGACTTGTTCATCGCAACTCCTCCTCAAAGTGATGGTTGAGGAGCTTCTCGGTGCAAGTTGGCACGAACGTCATTGCCCTACCCCACCCCGCACCATATACAGTATCATATACGTGACCAAAACATGTAAAACGCTGCTGCGGTTTTCAACCTGTAGGCTCAAACAATTTCCGAGTTTCCTCAAACACCTCCAAAGTGTTCTTACTTCCTGGTGCCGCTTGATGGATGCCGAAATTTGCAAAGGTTCCACATCGTTGACAGGAATTGGACTTGACGCAGTGAGACCTCCTTCACTTGGGAGGAGGAGTCCATCACACTTTCAGTGACCTAAATCATTCCAAATCCACCAAGACAGTGATGGACTCCTCTGATGGACTCCTCTCAATCCCGGCGTCGGCTCCTCGCAAAGGCCAACCGGGTCGCCAGGTCATTGGCTTCGGAACCTGCCCGTAGTCCGCCGTAGAACCAAATGTGGCATGCGGTGTCTTGGAATTCACGTGAACACATATATATTTGAAACTGTTCAGAATACCTTGTGTGACAGTTCATAGACTCAAGCAATGACTCTCCTGAAAAATCTGCTCTTCAATGCGTTTGTCTATGATTGTTCATGTATGTGTTTCCCACCTAGGTCCACATTCCCCCAAAGTAACATGCCTGAATTCACGAAGAAGCACACTTCTAGGCCACTGCCGGTGGGAAAGGTTTCTGTGAGGCGCTTTGCCAAGAGGCACAAGTTGGGGTGCAGGTACCTGCAGGGTGTGGAAACCAGAGGCCAAAAAAAGCGCATGGAGATTGGACACCGATCGGACAAGCTGAGCTGGCGCAGCTGACATGCTGGGGCCGATGGATCTAGGTTACAGAAAAAGGGTCGGATACTCCATGCATGCATTGTTTCTCAGGTGCAAGCTTGCCTTGTAGGTCGAGGTAGAACTGAGTCAGAAAATGAACCCTAGATTCAACATGAGCTCTTTAAGCTTTCTGCTGCTTACCATTCAATATCTTGGTTGCGCCTGGTGTTGGTGTTCAGTTGTTCCACTTGCTGAGCCACGGCCCGGGCAACTCTAGGGTGCGAGTGCCCAACATGGCAAACATTGTTCCGCGTATCCAAGTAGGAGTTACCTGAGCTCGGATTGCCAAGTTGGCCCGGTGTTCTTGAAGCTGTCACAGTAACTTCGGCATGCAAAGTCGTCAGAATGAAACCCACATCGCATGGACACACCAGCCTGCCTTCAAATTTAGAAAAGGTCAAGCCACACGCACAGATGCACACGCGAAAAGTGAGACTGCCAAGTGACCTGCTTCATCATATAGATAGCTGCCTTCACCCCGGAGGATCAAGAGTGGGTCAGTGTTTGCATAGGAAATGCTCCTGAGCTTCTGCTTGATTAATGAGGCTTTTGGCCAAAAAAATGACTACAAGTACAAAAATCTTGCCTCCAAACTAGCAATGAAGTCAGGTGGTTTCCTTCGCAGTGTGGGAGAACAAGTCTTGCTTTGCTCTGCCCTCCAAGCTAGCATCTTCGTAGGGAAACGCAGTAGGTGAACTTTGTGACACCTCTGCCAAGTGAAACAATTGAAAGCTATTCTGTTGACCATGGGGCACCATGAGCAAAGACGAGCAAAGCTTTCAGTGCTCCGCAACATGGAAGCTCGCACCTTGCAGGCCTGATTCACTGCTATCAGCCCTCTCACCCGTTGCAATATAATATTGGCCAGCATCTAATCTTACATTTGGCTGCCAAGTACAGGATGTTGCTGCCTTTTCTCCATGACTATCAAGTCCTGAACACGTCTCCATATCCTCAGCTCAAGATCTGCCAGGAGTCTGTGCAGGGCAGAAGTGCTTCCGGCGGAGCTTCAAGATCTCATCTTTGCTCAATGCCTCAGCTGTTTGGGCTTCTGGTTACCTTGTCTCAAACAAACATAGCAGCCACTTGATAGGGCAAACTCATCTGAAAACGCACTGTGTGGCCCAAAACGGGTGTTCTTTGGAAAGTACTACAGTATATGTATTTCTTGTTGACAAGGGAAACCACCGGTGCTGGCCAGGTCTGGCCTCATGGGCCACATCCGATGACCACAAGCTGCCCATATGGAGACGAAGGAGGAGAGGCCTACGGCCTGAAATGCACTGTAATTGCATAACTGCTTTCTGTTGAGTCTGAAGATCGGACATGAACCAGATAAGCCAAGGCTGGTTGAATTGGAACCTGTTATAGATACAGACACCCGGAGGAAGAAACGATGCTGAAACAATCGTGGCTGTGTCCATGGTTCGTTGTGCGTTGCTCCAGCTACCCTAGAGGCTGTGAAATCTGTTCTCCGAAACAGCGTGCTAAACGGCCAGAACGGCTCGCCAAGCTTGCTGGTTGGGTGAAGCTCCAAAACAAGTCTGCGCCACATTGTGGGCATCCCACCAAACACAAATACATGAAGAACGTATGCGTGATTCACTGCATCAAAATGAGAGGACCTGATGATGTGAGGATTGGAACTCCCGACTTGGTCTGTCTCATCATGTTTCTAATGACTGGAAGGGTTCATCCCCTCATCAGTTCGTGCATTTCTCCAATTTGCAATGACCTCTGTAGCCGTTCTCCGTTTTCCCTGTGAATGTTTCGCGTAGACGCGCTGAGTCACTTCAGGTCCAGCCGAATTTGACCTTCACTCTTGTCTCCAAAGTACCAAAGCAGCGGCAAGAAAACCTCACTATAGAATACAGTAGATGTCGTTTCAGTCGCCATCCTGGTACCAAAGGGACATTCCGTTTGATGCTCACCTCTCCTATCAGTCTGCATCAATTTCCATTTGTAGGTCCCATTCCACAGCACACTGCGGCACTGCGTTGCTTTCATCAAGAGGTGCACGCTCGACTCGTTGCATTCCGATCACGACCAGGACCCGACCACCCACCTCGCGCGAAACCTTCTCTCGGGGCGTCCATCTGGGAGACCTGAGCTCGCGCGTTTTCATCTGTGCGCGAGCTCGATTTCAAGGGGCAGGTTGAAGTCCAGAAAGCAGGAAAGGTCAACAAAACTCGAACACTTGTCCTCAGCAGCAAACTTAGGCAATGTTGGATCCCAAACATGGTCGTAGTCTTCGTCGCAACAAGTTCTCCACAATCTTGAACCGTATTTGAACCCCCAGCTTCGACTTGAAAGCCTTGCAAGTCCCGAAAAGGCTCTGTTTCTGTTTTGGGCTCTTGAGGCCAAACACGTGAAAAACATTAAAAGACTCTGCCAAGTCTGGGAGTTGGAGTCACAAAACTGTAGAGTCGTTTTCACAGGACTCAAAGCCCCTCTGAAATGTCTTGACCTCAACTTGGTGGGATCAGCATGACAGCTTTGTGCGATCTACAGGCAGCCGGAAATTCAGGATTATCCTGGATATCAGTACGGACCATTGGCAAAATGAGTCATCCAAAGTGAAGCACATGTCGGGCACTCTCAAACACGTTGAGAGTAGCATGGGATCAGTTTCGGAAAAGGGACAAGCATGCTGCATTGATAGAACTCATGAGTAACTGAGTAACTTGATCTAAATGGGGCATCTGGTACGCACAGCCAGAATGGACAAACCCTTGACCAGTGGCATCCACTGCCGTCCAGCGCCACCCGTCTTGGATCCAAACGAAATGGGAGTGATCCTGACATTCAAATGCAGCTTTTTCGGTGAAGTCATCTCTTTGGTGTTTTGTCTTCTCCATATAAGGCCCACAAATAAGTAGGAAAGTCAATCCGCATCGAAAGTTCACCGGAAATTACGTCTACTGAACTTCCGCTTCGCGCAAAGAATGGACATATGTGCTAAAATGTATTTAAATGCGGCCCGCGTCAACTCTTCTCAACAACTAATGCACATGTATGATAGCTACGCACTTGTGGGCATCCATCTTTCCTCGCCTTGGCCTGGGCTCGGAATGTTGACAGGATGAGTGTGGGTGCTCTTGCTGTTGAGGCTGAAGTCACACACCCACACACTCCCAGTTTTGCTGGTCTCCCACCCAGAACTAGATCTACACCCACATCACGTACAGTAGAAGTAGTTCAATGCGCCTTCATCACACCCGTCACAGTGGTGGTTCATCGGCCCTACAGGTCTGCGGTCTGCAATTGTATCAGATTCAAAATACTGATTGGCGTTGACGTTGACATGCAAAGATTGATGGTCAGCTCCTTCTTGCATACACACACACACACACACGCACACACTGTTTCTACGAGCATCTGCTGAGAACAGTCAATGATAGTTGTTGCCCACCTCAGGTTCTGCCCCCAGAAACAAACAGGAAAGAAAGAAAACAACAGGGATGAGAAATCGCCATTCCATATTAAGTTGCCGTCCATCATCTCTCTGGATGAGAAATGCATGGAATATATTATATATATATAATTATATATATACATCTGCCATTGCCATACCATCTGTATGGTGGTGATTTGACGTCGCTCTGGTCATGCTTGAGAAAAAGGAACCCAGGAATGCCTGGCCTGCAAAATGCAAATACCCGGCCAGGTTTGGCTGTATCAGCCGAGGTCCTTGTGTCCTCCTCCACATTCTCCAAGACAATGCCGTACATCCAGCCAATCAACCGTCCTGGCAAGCTTCCAAAAACGCTGCTTTGCAATTGTTACACGCTCCGAGACTGCAGTGCGTTGTTGGAATTCCTTTAAACAAACAGCATCAAACATCTCATTATTGTGGCCACCACGTCAGTTTGCGCTCAAGTCACAAGTCGCAAGGCCGGCGGAGCAGGGCATGCATTCACATGCATGGAATCCATGAGGGACGGAGTGAGCTCTCCATGAGCGCCAATAGCATGCCAGCAAATACTGTCTGCTACAGGCCCTTTCATATTACATAAAAGACATCTGATACGCATCAACACCACAGCAAGAGAGTAGGCTGTGACAACGCCCCATGAAACAAAGTGGGCAAATACCCGAAAGTGCCAGCTGTTGACGGTGGGTTCTCTTGCCTCGAAAGACCAAATACACAGTGACAAACATCTCCACCCTGCCTCGCCAAATGAGGACCGCATCATTCTTCCTGAGACCCGTCGGCAATGCTAGGCGAATTTGTTGCCGGTGGAGTAGGAACATTGCTCTTGAAGGAGCATGCTGCAATGCATGTTGGCTCTTGCAAATGCTTTTCTCTGTCATCCGAAGTAGTTTTTGCCAAACATCTGGTTCAATCCACAAGCATGTATGTGGGCGCTCTCGGCAACTTCTCACAGCATGAACATTAGCTTGAGCACTGCCGATGTCGTGCAAATGAAATCAAACAACCGTCTTGTTGGAGTCAGTGGACTCTCATGCCATACCAGAGCTGTGGGGGTCGCTTTATATCATCAATCGACGGAACTTGCAGACTCGCCCAACTGGGCTCAGGGGCTCATATCTCTTCCGGATCCTGGCCGAGAACTCTCTGTTCGGTTGAACTCTCTGGACTGAGATTCTTCGGCCTGGCCGATGTATAGTAGCTTCTTGTTACTACTAGTAAGGCACTTGTTACTACTAGCGTGGCACTTGTTACTAGTAGCGATGCACCTGTTTCTAGTAGATCTACATTCTCTGGCAGCCTGGCATGTAAATCATGGTCTCAAACCGGTTCCTTGATTCAATCAATGATACAGTCAACGGCTTGTGAAGATTTCGGCCATCACTACATTATGCAAACCAACCGGTCATTGGATGTCGTTCGACTCCTGGCCTTTCAATGGTCACGTTGTTGAGCACGAAGGGCTCAGTGTCCTCCGCCTCACCTGGAGCGTGGCCGTGTAGGGCCCGCTACGGGCGCGTAGGGATGATAGTGAAGCCCATTGGAATCTGAAAACCCGAAAGAAAGCCCCTTGGAACAAAGGCGCTCGAGCGAGCTTCTGCAAAAGCTCCCTGTTCTGTTCTTAGTCGTTCGTGTTTGTCACGCTCTTAGCTTCATGAGCACCAGAGTGAACAGGATGGTAAAGTGGCTTGGAGATCAGGTAGCTTGTGGATGCTTGTGGTGCAGCTTTGAGACGCAACGGCACTTTATGCATGGGACCTGTACTCATGGACATCTGATGCGTTTGACGTCAAAGGGTGTCAGAGCCGTTGTTTTGGAGCCTCACATTTTGGGCTCAA